AACACTCTTCGTGACGTCAAAGGGAACTTGAATAAGTTAAACTCAAAATTCTCATTTTCTTTCAAATATTTAATCTTTATACATTAAAATGGTCAAGTGATATAATAAGTACCTTGATTGAGGTATTTTCATTCAAAGATTCAATCTTTACTCATTAAAACACTCTTCGGGACGTTAAAGGAAACTCGAATAAGTTTAACTCAAAATTCTCAATTTATTTCAAAGATTCAATCTTTATACATTAAAAAGGTCTAGTGACATAATAGGTGTCTTGATTGAGGTAATTTCATTCAAAGATGCAATCTTTACTCATTAAAACATTCTTCGTGATGTCGAAGGGAACTCGAATAAGTTTAACTCAAAACTCTCATTTTCTTTCAAAGATTTAATCTTTATACATTAAAATGGTCTAGTGACATAATAGGTACCTTGATTGTGGTATTTTCATTCAAAAATTCAATCTTTACTCATTAAAATATTCTATGGGATGTCAGAGGGAACTCAAATAAGTTTAACTCAAAACTCTCATTTTCTTTCAAAGATTCAATTTTTATATATTAAAAAGGTTTAGTGACATAATAGGTACCTTGATTAAGGTATTTTCATTCAAAGATTCAATCTTTACTCATTAAAACACTCTTCGCGACTTCATAAGGAACTCGAATAAGTTAAACGCAAACTCTCATTTTCTTTCAAAGATTCAATTTTGATACGTTAAAAAGGTCTAGTGACATTATCGGTACCTTGATTGAGGTAATTTCATTCAAAGATTCAATCTTTACTCATTAAAACACTCTTCGTGACGTCAAAGGAAACTCGAATAAGTTTAACTCAAAACTCAAAACTTGAGCCTAGATCTTAAGGCTCAAGCCCAAACTCATGGTGCTTAAGCCATTGCAAAAGTGATCGAGCCAATATTGCCTTGGAATGCCAAAAGTCGCTTCGGGGAATCCAAAGTTGCCGGATCTCGAGCCTTTGCCAAAAGGCTCGAGCCCAAGACCCCAAGGTTGGAGCCTCAGGAAACAGTGATTGAGCACAATGAAATAGTGATCAAGTACCATGAAGATTCATCCCCAAAATATTCTAAGTATTGATGAAAAAGATTCTTTGAAAATTATTTAGAGAAAATTGACTAAGTGTTGAAGTCCTGCTCGAGCATTATCTCATGAGGCTCGAGCCCAAGCCAAAAAGCTCAAGCCATATATTTTAAGCTCGAGCCCTTCCTATTTAGTTAGACTTTTCAAATGCGGAATTTGTCTTAATTAAGTCATCTTTCATCCTAAATGGACCCAAATAACCCCAGAAGACCTAAAAGCCTGTCCAACCCTTATTAGAAGTTGATTTTTCTATAAAAGGAGGCACAAGGCTACATATCTCATATCTCTTATCTCTTTTTCTAATTATTATTTTCTTAATTGGTGGCGGTTTTTAAGGTTTTGTGATACCCCTCAACTCCGAGACATGGGTTAATTAGGCCCAAGCCCAAACCAGAGAGATATCAAACAAGTAAGTATTTAATAAGCATAGAATACAAAATGATTTAAGAATAAAGAATAAAAGCTGAAAGAAACTAAAATAATAAATCCTTAAATAAAATAATCCTCCATAAGACAATTTCATAAAATCCTCCAATATAAAAATCCAATCCATTGATACCGTTACAACTCGGGAATCCATAATGTGGACACCTAATAATAATGAATAAAAGAAATAAATCCAAAAACTAAAACATAAAGAAAATCCTACGTAGAATCGGAAGAATGATGTGGACTGTCTCTGCTCAGCACGAACAAGCTCTATGTCTGAAACTGACAAACACCTGAAAAATAATAGTGGGTTAGGTCCAAGAACAAATTCTTTCTACGACAACCCAAACAGAGAGCGGAGAAATTACACATCTATAACTAACTTATGCAATAACTACATAGTTCATAAATATATATATACACACTAAAGAAACCTCGCTAGACTATAGGATTGCCTTAACCTAAATAGTAGGCAACATGCAAAACGCACATATAATGGGCATGAGTACCTAGGCCTACCAGGGCGCACAACTACACTATATCTAACTACACATCCTTAGCAATATACGCACCCTAACCACTGATCCTGAGACTCAAGCTCATATCATGGCACATAATCATATTTGTAAAATCCATCTTGTCTAAGGCATAAAATAAAATCCAGTATGTCATCCAATTAATTTAATGGCCCGACATGAAGATAAGTAGGACTTAACTTTCTAGTTAGTCAGTTCCCTTATAAATAGGTCTTAACCTTTTTTAGTTAATCCGTTCCTAAAATGTCACCATCCCATATTGGTGCATTACATCCATACAATCCAATAATTGATGTAAAAAATAAAGTAATACATTAAATAATTTAGAATAAACATAATAACATAATATCATGCTATCACAAAATAGGAATGACTTATAATTTATTTAAGCTTCCTACATCATGTATCCCACACAAATTGAATCTTAAACATGCTAATATTTAATTTCACAGTCAAGTAAGCATTCTCCAAATACAGTTCATGCTAAACATTTAATCTCAATTGCTAAAACAAATCAAAAAGATTAAATCTATTCATTTTTAAAAGAAAATTCCTTGGGTGTAGGGTGAGTTCTTTTCCCATTCCGTATTTGGGTTTGCCTCTAGGGGTCTCCTCTAGAATAGTGGGGAGCTGGGATCCTGTGATTGATAGGCATGCGAAGAGATTGGCAGGATGAAGAAGCAATACTTGTCTAAGTGGGGGCAAAGTAACACTTATTAAGAGCACTTTATCGAACCTTCCCACATATTTTTTATCTATGTTCCAAATTCCATGCTCTGTTGTTGTTAGGATTGAAAAAATTCAAAGGGATTTCCTTTGGGGCGGAAGGGGCGAAGAGTTTAAGTATCACCTTGTCAAATGGGAACAAGTTTGTAAGCCCGTGAAGATGGGTGGTCTTGGTATCAGAAGATTGATTCCCTTTAATCAAGCTCTTCTGGGTAAATGGTTGTGGCGGTACAGAAGGGAAAGACATCGTCCTTGGCAAAGGCTTGTCTCCTGTCAGTATGGGGAAGAGAGTGATGGTTGGTCTACCTGACCGGTTTCTCACATGAGAGGAGTAGAGGCATGGAAATCCATTCGGAAGGGATGGGATGCTTTCTCTTCTCATATAAGATTTAAAGTTCGTAATGGCAGATGTGTTCATTTTTGGGAGGATCTTTGGTGTGGAGACCAGCTTTTATCTAGTTTATTTCCCAGATTATACAGTATTGCAATTGATAGACATGCCTACATAGCTGACTGTTATCAGCTTGATAATAGTGGGATTACGTGTGATGTGCACTTTCGACGTTCTTTTCAGGATTGTGAGTTGGACGAGGTATGTGTTTTTTTTGGATTTGATGTATCGACATGAGGCAGATGGCAGAGGTAGTGACGATTTGTTATGGAGTCCCTCTGGCCATGGTCGCTTCGAAGTTCGTTCCTTATTTTTATGTCTATCTAATTTTGATATTGTTGATTTTCCGTGAAAGACTATCTGGCGTTCTATGGCTCCAACAAGGGTGGCATTTTTTGTATGGACCGCTGTATGGGGTAAGATCCTGACGATTGATAATTTAAGGAAAATGGGTAACTGTTTTGTTAACTGGTGTTGCCTATGCAAACAAGATGGTGAGTCAGTTGATCATATTTTTATGCATTGTCCTATGGCGAGCGATTGTTGGAATCTTATTTTTGGTCTGTTTGGTATGCGTTGGGTTATGCGTCGCTATTCTAAGGATTTAATTCATGCTTGGAGAGGATGCCGAGTGAGAAGTGGTGTCCGCGTTTAATGGAAAATTGTACTACATTGTGTTTGGTGGTGCATATAGAAGGAGAGGAATAGTAGAATGTTCGAAGGGAAAGAGTCGTCCACGGCGACGCTGAAACTTCACATCATCCGCTCTCTTTTTAGTTACGTGAAGAGGAAGTCTTGTTCCTCTTCCGATGATTTAATCATTTTTTTGGATTCTTTGGGGCCTTAGACCCCGGTTCCACTTTTGTATAAGGGACGCGTTCCCCTCTTGAAACGCCTTTTTTCTTTAATTATTACTTGTCAAAAAAAAAAAAAAAAAAAAAAAAAAAAAAAAAAAAAAAAAAATCTATATGCTCTCTGCATATTCTTTCTATTTTCTGTGTATGTAATGTGTCCTTTAATAGTATATTTATAGGTAAAATAGCAATATGAAGATAGTGGGAGAATTCAGTTGTGTTTTTTTTTTTTTTTTTTTTTTTTTTTGGAAAAAAAAGAAGAAAGAAAGATAGAAAAGGAGACTGAAATCTTGAACTATATTTGATTGGTTAACACAACTCAAGAGACCCACGATCAAACCTGCAAATTTGTGCTTAGAAATTTTTGAATAGGCAGTTTCCAAAACCACTTTACAGGCATATCAAATAGGATTTTCCAAAAAACACCCTAATTTGGGTGACTGCATTGGAGTGTCAAATTACCTTTGTGCCATGGTGTAGAAAAATACGTTTTTATCCTGGTTGAAGCTTGAATTTCCATATTCAACCATGGCCAACACCACTACCATGAGACGAACTTCTAAAATCTAGTTAAATCAAAATAAATTACAGACTCTAGTTTTGATTCACGAAATTTTCCAACAGTCATCATACGTCCTATTGACCTAACAGAAGGAAAGGAAAAAAATGGTATCATGCACAACTCTGGGGGTTTCCATTACCGGGTGAAAGTTTAGTCTAGGCAAACATATGTAGTCGCACTTGTTCTTCTGTTATATGTATTCTTTTCCTATAACTTTAGCCGTCATAAGGGACCAAATCTTGTCAGAAATTTATTTATCTTTGATAAGTAGAAACTTATGTGGTCCTGACGTGCATCAGTACATAGAATGGCACGTAAATACATGCATACACACATAGATTGCCTGCTATTTTTTTCCTTTTATTATTTAACCCAATGCTAATAGTTGTATCAGTTTTAATGCAGGTTTTGTGAGCCTTTGTTGGATTCATATAATAATAAAATATCTGAAGGAGAAAATCACTTCCGAATGCTAAATGAATCATTAGGTAGGAGGGAATATGAAGGGGCACGTATAATTAAGTGGAAACTCTCAAAGTCCCACCAAGGTGCTCATATTTTAAGGAAATTGTTTTCTCAGTTCATCAAAGAGATTGTTGAGGGAATGATTGGATACGTTCCCCTTCCAACTATAATGTCAAAACTCCTTTATGAAAATGGCAGCCAGGAATTTGGTGATTTTAAAGTTACCATCATGGGCATGCTTGGAATGTATGGTTTTGAGAGAAGAATTCTGGTACGTCTGCTATCTACTTTACTTCTTTTTGGTCACTTTGGTATTTATTTCACTGTCACGTTTTGCGTCTATCAGTTATGCAGTGTGATTCACATAATCATAAATAAGCGTGTGGTATAGCTTATAATGCACTTTTGTCTAGGTCTAAATGCATTTGCGTTTTCATCTTAATCGTTTTTCTCTCATTTTATCTCTAATTAATGTTATGCCCAGCATCTCAAGAATGTATTCATTTCTCTTTTTTCCGTTCTTATCTTACCACACATCCATTTCAGCATTTGCATTTTGGCTATGCTCTTTATCAATATATTTCTTAGCCACACAAAATTTACCTTTTACTATATATATATATATATATATATTTATAGACGCACACATTTATCACATGATACAGATGGAATGCAAAAATAGAATTCATATAGTTGACTCCGACTAGTTGGGAGAATGCTTTGTTTGGGGTGGTGATGTCTATCACACAATATGCTAGACCCTCCATTTGACTATCCAACTTCCATTCTATCTGCAACATCATCTCCATTTTTATCCATCTTTATAAATAATCGAGTCTAGACAAAGAAACTATTTATTTTTTAGTGTCTCCTGGCCCTCAATCTTCACATTATCCAAGTTATCCTAAACCCTCTTGATTCAAGTGTTTCTATCAAGATTTATAATTTAATCTGTTTTAGTTTCATCAATCAAAGCAATATCATCAACAAATAATACTATTATACATCATGGAACCTAATCGTATCTTGACCAAGTTTTGTCGAATGATCCGTGAGTAAGGAAAAAAGAACAGAGGAAGTGAAAAAATAAAGGGCAAATTACACTAACACCTTGAGGTTTGGCAAAGTTACTCAGACCTCTCTTGAGGTTTGGCAAAATTACGCAGACATCCCATTCAGTTTGCAGAATTAAAGTAACCTCCTCTGTCAAAGATGTCAGGTGAACGGTGTTAATGGGAGTGATGTAATTACTTGTTTGTCCTCGCTTTGTTGTATTATTTTTTAATTTTTTTCATTGACAAGTCGATGAAACATAAAAGGATTAAAATCCCATGCAAAAGACCAAATTTTCTTGGTTATATCATTTGTCTCTAACTTTTTGAACGACTCATTTATATATATATATATATATATTTTGATAAGTAGAACGACTCATTTATATTATCCTACTATTTACATACACACATAGTGAACCACAGAACATCTACACGTATATATATGCACATACCAATCTTCAAGACCCTAGACCTATCCAATATTTTCACCATTCTCCACCACCATTAGTCACTTCTGCTGCAAACATTAATTGTTACTAGCCAAACATCTTCAACTCAGAACGAAAGCAATTTGGATAATCTTTTGGTTCACTCTTGGCCCATGGTTTACGTGGACAAAATAAATACATAATCAGAGAAGAAATCGAACAGAAACACTCAATTAAAACCATATATCTAGAGAGAGAGACTCAATACGATCTTTCTCAAACTGCTCACTCAATCTCCTTATTATATTCTTCTTATTCTTCAGTTAAGACAGAGTGAACAATGGCAGAACATGATCGGAGAAGAAATCAACCTGAGATTATACTCGAGCTATAAATTTAGTGAGAGGAAAGTTGTCTAGAGAGAAATTTCACCCCATCTCTTTTTATCTTCTCTCGCAATATCTTTGATTCACCAATCTTCTTAATTTCTTCCACATATATTATTTATCTACATACTTATATGTCTATATGTTCTCAACCAATATACCCACTTCTGGGTATATACTTCTATTCTCAACCAAGTAGTTGTCTCTCTCTACCTTTGTTTGTTTGTTTGTTTTCCTTTTATTTGTGTATTTTATTTTTTATAGGTCTCTCTCTACCATTATTGTTCTGGGTATATTACTTTTAACTCTTTCAAGCTTACAGATGTATGTATATATTACACCCATGCACTTCTCATGGGAAATAACTGTTAGAAGGTTTAAGGGTATCAAAATTTTGTCAAACCTCTGAGAAGGTGAGCGTGATTTGCCCAAAAATAAAACACACACTAAGTCTTGTGTGATAGTATGCATTAGTGAAGCTGAGGACAAAAAGTAGTGACATGGGAGAAAAAAAGAATGAAGGACAGGTGCCCTCTTTTCTTGGCAGCTAATATAACCTTAAAATACAATTCTTTTTAGGTGGTTGATTTAAATAGGATCATTATGGCAAACATTGCTCACGTTTAAGAATTTTTTATTCTTCATCCTAACTTATCAACTTTGTATATGTTAACTGTATATATGTTTAAAAGGATGCTAGATGAGAATCTCTGGGAGCTACATTTATTGTATCTGCTATAAATAAAGAAGTTGCAATTCTTTACTCAGCAATTCTATATATGTGTATAGTAGAATACAGTGAGACCATTCTATTGGATGTATATTTTTGACTTCACGGAACATAACTATATACCAATATTAAGTGTAATCTATGACTTGTATACCTTAGTTCTGTTGCGTTAATAACTAATTTTCAGTAATATCTGAGTGACTGTGTTGATGTCTTAAATATAAAAAGTTCTTATGGGAACTCACCCAAGTGTACTTGTATATTGTTAGCCAAATTCAATTATTTTCGTAACAACTATTTCCCGTTGTCATATCAGGATACCGCCAAATCCTTGATTGAGGATGATACATTTTATACCATGAGCTTACTCAAGAAGGGGGCTTCTCATGGGTATGCCCCTAGGAATCTTCTATGTTGCATATGTAATTGCCTTCTCTCTAAAAATTCCTCTAGCTCTACCATTCGAGTTTTCAGTTGTGGTCATGCAACCCATGTCCAGTGTGAAATTCAGGAGAACGAGGCATCACATAGAGGCGCCTCACCTGGATGTCCCATTTGTATGCCTATGAAGAAGGGACAGAAGTCTAGAAGTAAGACAATTCTCGCAGAGAATGGATTGACGAGCAAGTCTTGGTCAAGACCGCAACAAACTCAGGGGACTAGTGCTCCACACCCATATGAAAGTGATGCATTTGAGAATTTGTACGGTTTTAAGGAAACTTCGAGGGTAAGACAACAATTAAGTTATTTCATTTTTCTTATCCTTCATTTTACATCTTTTTTTTTTCTATGTATATCTAACTGGATATGCACTTGGGTGTCACAGTTTGAGATCTTGATTAATCTTCAGAAAGACCAGAGATCGATCCAAAAAGAGAACATGCCTCAGTTGAGGCTTGCACCACCAGCTGTATATCATGAAAAGTTGAAGAAAGGAATTGATTTTTTAGCTGGAGAAAGTAGCAGTGGTCTCGGAAAAATAGAAAAACAAGGTAAAAGCAGGCAACTTAGAGAGCTAAACGTGAAGCGATCGGCGATTCGATTTCCTTTGAAATCATCAAATATATTTGGTGAGTTGTGTTCTCATTTCATGTTTTTAGATGCTAAATTCCATGATATGCATTTGTAACAATTGGAGAGTTCTTTATTAGGCAAGGAGAAGACCAATAGGCGATGAATAGTTTCAAAGATAGAAAATGTTGATTCCCGTCGAGGAGCTGACCGGCTGATGAATGATACTACAGATCAAAATAGCTTATACAGAGTTAAAAGTAGACAATTTTTACCTTCCTTTTTATTTTTATTATTTTATTTTATTTTATTTTTGTCATGTTTCTTTATTGTCCATGTAATTTATAATGTATATAACATAGTGATTGTACCTGTACTTTATAATGTATTTAACATTGTGAAAATTATCTTATTGTTGTTAAATCAGTATAGAATACAATCAATAGTGGAGGGACTATTAACAGATGTTTTTAGCTGCACTTGTAACAATGTTCAGGAAGTTGAATACATGGTTTCTTTGAAGTGATTAAATCCTTTTAGACAGTCTGCACACTGAGGGAGGATTTGGTAGACGGGATTTCATGATGGTGGGGACTTTGGGTTGGCGGGTGTAGGAGGTGGAGAAGAGAGCGAAAATGGGAGGGAAGAAGAGAGAGAGGAGAAAGATGGTTGTGGAGTGGCAATGGGCGGTGGCCGTGGGGGAAGGAGGTGGTCATGGTGGGGCGTAAGCGGTAGGTGGCTCTCATTTTTGTTTCTTGTGGGTTATGTTCATTTAATAATATCTATCTATATTAAAAATGAATTAAAAACGCAGGCAAATATGACATTTCATAAGCTTGCATGCTTTCCTCTGTTTTTTTTTTTTTGTTAAACATAAGTAAATCAATGTTAATAAGGGAGGTCACTGTAATTAAGACCTTGATTACTGTGTAATTAGACTTAACTTGAGTAGGGGTGAGTGTAATCTAATCAATAATTCATCAAAATCAGTATGCATAGCAAAGTGTTTGGTTAACCAAGGAAGAAGTTCTCCTTGGCACCTCTCACTGGAGGCTGTCCATGAAGGGGTAAAATGCTAACATGGCATGTTGTGTAAAAAAAGGTATTTACTTGATTGTATATATGCATCCGTATCTGTTATTTGTACAAGAAAATTAAACCAAAGTTCAGAAAAATGGAATTTTCAATTTTTTCCCTAAGATTGAAAAATCCTTTACCCCAAAAGTCTTCTATATATCTGATTCCTCAAATTAAATTTCAGATCTCCCTCTCATATTCAGGTCTCTCTCTTAGTTCGAAACTAGAGGAAATTGATACCCGTATTGGTGATCAAGATTCCGGCATTGTTGAGCAACATTCTGGCCAAAGAATAACAAATCCAAACCCGCAAAAGAAGCAGAGCAAGTAAGATTTTTTGGCAACCTTTTCAAAGAAGCAAAACAACGTTACTCTTCAAAGAAGGTCCGATTTAAAGTGTACAACATTTCGGTAATGTTATAGTCGGTGATTAATGAGCTTCAAACAAACAAAAGGGGACCTACTCTTAAGAAGCACAATACATTCCGGCGAGAAGTAAAGTTTCCGGTCATTATACATAGGTTGTGATTTATAAAAATTTGTAATTTTATTTGAAATGATAAACCAAACTTTATCTTATTTGGCAGCAAGTCAGGGGTAACATTTGGTAACAGCCTTGGTAATTTGTCCTGATGAGCACGAAATCCTGTAACACTAGAATTTGAAGCTTGGTTTACCTTGTTTGGAGGCAACCCGAGATTTGGTTTGTTTGTTCTTCTGCATTTTCATAATTTGGAGGCAAGCTGATATTTTATTTGTCTGTCCTTGTGCATATTTAACACAGTATGAATTTATTTATATGTTGTAAGTGTTGATAATAATTGTATTAATAATATAAAATTGGTTCTAAGTTTTAGGTATTTGATAATTAGGATGGGGGTATTGAGAAAAAAATAGATTTTACATCTGATTTTTTGAGTTTTATAGTTAATGGCTAATCTGTTACAGTAATTTTGTTTTATATTTTGTTTGTGAAAGAGCTTTTTTATTATTTTTTATTAGATATCTCTACTATTGCATTGAAATTGATTTGGAATATCAAATTTGGTTATAGTAATATGTGGATCATAACATTTAATTTCATTGATTTTTTATTTATTATTTTTTTAGGGTACACTTGACCCCATATTGGTATTTAATTTGAATGATAGGTTCATATAAGTGGTGCCAGATGTTGGAACTTGTTATAAATGTGTATATATCAAGATATTAGTGTTGCACTTAAATTAGTGTTTGACAAGTTTATGAATGTGCTGATATGCATCATATTACTTTATCATTAATATTCAATTCGAAATGTTAGGAAAAAGATGTGATGATTTATTTATTAAACTGTTGATATTTGTTTGTAAACAGTTATGTTGTTCAGTTCAAAGTATGTTTCATTCATTTGCTTCCTACTTTAAATGATTTTCCTCTATGAGGTTGAGTTGAACTATGTTAGGATTTATTTTATATGATATGTTTATATAAATGGTGCGACATGTTGAAAAAGTTTATGAATGTGTGGATATGCATCATATTACTCTATCACTTAAATGCACGTGAAAATGTTAGGACAAAGATGTGATGGTTTATTTATTAAACTGTTGACACCTGGTGATGTGTACCAAATTATAACCACTTGTAACAGCATGAATCTTTGCAGAATAGGACTATATTAAAGGTGTCGAATTACAGAGATTGTCGTAGTTTATTTAAGCATCCAATTAATATTACTTTGATTCAAGGGGAAAGATTGATTGTTTTGATTATTTGTCATGAACATAAAAATAAAAGTAAACTAAATTAAAAAAAAGATCAAGAGAGAGAAGGTCTTAGGGATCGACTGTTGGGATTTATATGCCCTGGCATAGCAAATTCCTATCTGGATTATAGTAACATATGTTCCTGACATATCTGAAATATTTATGATTTATATAATTGGTGAATTCAATGTATTATGTTTCGATTCACTATGAAATTGATAGTGTCCATGTAATTACAAGAAATATTTATATATATATGTATGTGATGGCAATCAATGCATGATATATAAATAGTAATTATAAATTGTTCATAGTCGGTAATTATAGATGGACTCATAATTTATTAAGACTTGAACTGGATCCGCGTTAGGTTGAGATATATTGCGAGAGCCGTCGTATGCAATTACTCCCTATCACCGTCATGGCATTTGACTCTTAAGCATGAAAAAAGTATAGACTCTTTTATTAATTAATAATTACTTTGATTTGTTCGGCGGATTCTTCGGGATCCTTAGACCGACACTTTGGGTAGTTATGTAATTAATAGTTAGAGGGTTATATTTTCAATATTTGCATCATTGCTACTTGTATTTATTTTGTATTGATTATGGTTGATCACAAAGTAAATTCGAAGGCCTTCGTGTGTTTTTAGACAAAATGATTTATTATATATTTATTTATTTAAATTATTATTTTTGTCAAACAAATGTTTTATTGTGATCGAGCCAGAAATAATCAGAGGCACCAAAATAGATATATTAATTAAGTAGTCGGATTGATGGCTTTATTTATCCGATAACTAATTATGCATAGAGGGGTCAAAGTGCAATATTGACTTAGAGGTTATTTATTATTTAATTGGAGTTCAATTAATTTCTTTTAGTGGAGTAGAAATTAATTGGGTCTATGGACCGGGCCAATTATTAATTCATTATAGCCAATAAAATAATAGGCCCAATGGATTCTCACTCATAGCCCAACTCGATATTGGAATCATATTAGATTTGAGACATGTGAATTAGAGATTGAGAATGATTAGTTGTTTCCTTTTCTTTACTTTTATGTTGCCTATAAATATACATGGTCTATGTATATTTTACGGGTGATTTTTAGTAGAAGGAAAAAGGAATATATATTCTCTCTCTAGAAAATTAGGGTTTATGTTCTCATCTAATGGAGGCTCCCACAAGCCTAGTTTTCCAAGGTCATTCATGGAGGCATATGAGTGATTCCTAAAGGCAAAACAATTACCAAGAAGATGGAGATCTAAGGAGAATGCATCTTGCTAAGGGATCTACAATAAGTGAGAACATTCACTTTAGAGTAGAGATCTAAGGTTTACTCAAACCTTGATGTAAGTATTCAATCTTTTAATTGAATGATACATCATGTTTTTTTTTTTTTTTGCATAAAACTTGTCTCTATGTGATGAATCAAGATCTATGAATCAAAATCCCTTGAAAAGTTTTTAAAACTTGCGCGTTTCCCAACATCGACTTCACCACGAATCTCGCATTATGGTCAATCATTCAACCTTGGGATTTCACAATTTACGTATTAGATGAATTAAACTCAATATCATTCATTTAATTCGAGTTTAAAGAAAGATGTTCCATGAACTTCAACTAACTATAACTTATCTTCGGTTGACACGAATTATCTACCTACCTACTTCTAACTAATGTTGCAGTATAACTTGTCTTTCCTAGACATAGATTATGAAAACTGTTGCCCAAGTATTGACTCTAGAGGGGGGGGTGAATAGAGTCAATGATAAACAATGGATAATTTTTGCAATATAGAAAAGTAATTTCAAGCAAAGTACTTAACACAATTGTGCAATTATAAAGATATGAAATAAGCAATTAAATAGCACAATTATAAGAGAGATAAGAGAAGAGAAATTGCAAACATTGACTCGGTGATTTTAGCGAGATTCGGAAACTCCTACTCCTCAGCTCAAGACTCCTCTTGAGACTTCCCAATCCACTATGACTTCTCCTTACGGATGGAGAGCAAACCTTTACATGAAGCAAGATCTTGCTTCTTTTCCTTGCTAAGAGAACAACCTTCTCTTAGTCTTCCTTTGGGTCACACCAACACTTACAATAGATAGTGGCAAGAACAATGAAGTACAATAGATCTCTCAAAGATAGTAGTGCAATTTTCAGCTCACAACTAGAGTATTGATGAATATAAATGAAGCTCAAACTCTATGAATGAAATAAATGAGAGGAGATGATATAAGTGAAGAATGTAAGCTCTTATAATCTCTCAAGTGTATAATAGAGCAAAAACTCTATGAAGATTAAAGCAAGAGCAAAAGCCCTTTGAGTGCTTAATTAAATTTCTCAAGATAGAATAAGAGTGAATGAGAAAGATGAAGAGAAGATTTGAGAACAAAAGCTTTCTTTAATGCAATGTGAAGGCTTTCAAATGATGTCTCTTAATTATTAAGACATTCCCCACTCTATTTATAGAGTTTGCAAGCTCAATATAGCTATTAGGAGATGAATGCACAAAGGTCGAGGAAAATAGAGCCGTTGCAGTTTGAAATCTGCAGATCCGACAAGAACCGGTCGATGTATGGCATAAACCGGTCGACGTATGGCACAAACCGGTCGACGTATACTACAAACC